CATGGTCTGTTTAAATGGCTTACTAGGAACGGGAAGGGGATAACATAAGACAGGAAATCCGTTAGAAAGAGTTAAACATTTAACAAACCTTTGGTATATGAACCAAATTTCATATGTTATGCCAAAACACAAAATGATATCGATTCCAAAAACGCAGCTGCTAGTGAGCAGAGTATTGCTCAAACTAACAAACCAATGCGAGAAGCATCTATCACCGCAGACGTTATACTACCACGGCTCCACGTACTAAGTGGCTCCATACCTAACTAGAAGCAAAGAGACGGTGCAGTACACCGTGTAATACAGCTTAGGAGGAGTTAAGCGCTTAACAAAGAATCGCAACAGAAAGCCGCATTTCTGGTTTTGCGAAACCGTATAAGAACATATGCTGTTGATAAACAAGGTACTGTTTCAGCCAATAAAATGATGCAAGATGCGTGCAATACTGCAGGTGGCCAAATGCCAGTTTATAGGCTGTCTAAAAAGCGGCAGCAGAGAACAGGAACGAGGGTAGTGTGCAACACGCCATGAAATCCGGATTAAGAGAAGCTCTGCGCTGTCAGTATTGTCAAATCAGTAGCTGCATCTGACAGCTTCGTATGGAGAGCAACAAACCGAAGAACATTAGTCCTGAACTTTATGAGAGCATTGAATTGTACTTGTCGGGTAATGTACCTTCCCGATCGAGGTACGTTACCATATTTGCTATAACTGAACTTTACTGCAAGTTAATTATATTCGGCCCAGTGCGAATTCTCACAGACAGGATATGAAAAGGCAGCACTTGTTGTAATATTCAAAGTAACAGCGCTGCCGATTGTCTGATGCACCTTGTGTTCCTGTTAATGTCACAACCGTGCAATCGGGCTTGGTCAGATCTCCCAGGTATTATCATTGTTTAGATCACATTATTTCACCTTGTCTATTTATATTGCAGAGAAATTAAATTTTCCGGTGGTTAGATCTAGGCAGTAAAAACCCAGTTAAAACCTATTATGTTCCTGTTACTGTGCATATACAAACAGTGCCTACCCTTTGCAAGCGGTCGCGTACGAAATCTGGATGCCCTGCGAAGCATTCACGTTGTCGACCATGACGATCTTTTGCGAGATTTTCTACAAGATGCCAATGTGCGATAACGTCGGCGGACGTACAGTCAAGTAATGGCTTACGTTGTACTGGTCCTGGATCAGCTCGACGACATTAGACGAATCGTTGGCCAACTTGCCGACCGAAGCGCTGACGTCCGGCAACGCGTTCTGCAGTCGCTGGTACAACGGTACCTGTTCTTCGGTGACGGCGAATATCAAGTTCACTTGGGTCTCACGCACTTTTTGGTGAATCTGGCTGATGCTAGGGTAATCGAACTCTGTCGACATCGTGTAGTAGCCGTGTCGATCCAAATGACAGCTGCCGTCGTTCGGAATCACTAATCCACCGAGCTGTAATCAGACGATACCTTCATTAAGCAGTACAACGAAAAAACTTAAGGTTTCTGGATTCAACAGATTTCACTGCTTGGTAAAATAAATAAACGGCGACATAAGAAGTGGCAGCGATACCATTTAATATCAACGTTATGGCATGGATATGGCAATACTAGATCCGTTTTCCCATTAGATGTCAGATCACTGTGTGTTTGCAGATCTGCATATGGATCATTTTGAATCACTGATGCTGAAAAATGCTTGATTTCGTTTGATCTTCTAATGTTTGAGGGCATTCCCAGGATATTAACAGCTAGTGTTCCCTTTATCGAAAGCATATGACAACTTCTGATAAATCTAGAAGGATCAACTATGCCATGGAAAAAGAAGATAAAAGCCAAACCAGCTTTCGGGATATACTGATTAAGAGAAAAGGAGCCAAAAATCAACAACTGATTCATTCTTGCAGTTTATCGAAAATGT